GTCTGTACCATTATAGAGGGCAGTTGCCTGAAGAAATGTCTGAAAAGAAGATTTTGATATTTGGTTACTTGCATCTATTCAACCTTCTCTTCATTATGCAATTTGTTTTTTGTTTTGTTTTGTTTTGTTTTTGGTATAGTGAATAGAGAAAGAAAGAAACATCAAACATCAATTTCTCATTGAGTTTCTTAGAGCATTTGGATCATAATATGTTTACTTGGTGTTATTCAAGCAATAAGATTCTAAGAGAAAACGAGATTACAGAAAAGTACATTAAACAAAATTAAACAGGGTCTTGGTGACCTATATTGAGCCCCAATTATGATATTGTAAGTTAAAACTCTCCAAGTTAGTCATATTTGTAGCTTACACACACACACACATGCATATATAATATATGACTTGCTTAAAGGGTCATAAATTCTATCTACACACACGTTCACTTATGAGTTCGTCTTACAAATAGCACCTTATGGAGTCAGGTTTTGCAGGACAGCAGTGTGAACTGCTCATTTAGAGTGGTGTTATTCATCACAGATTTGATCTATCATAATCTAATAAACATAATTTATATTGACTTAATCTGAGTCCTTGAGATCAAGGGTATCGTCCTTAAAGAATGATAACCCCCTGGGACTCGTAAAGTCTGCTGCCTTCTCAACTAACTTCCTGTGTGCACTAACTAGCGTGATTTCACGCACCGTCCATGCAGGACAGAGAAGAAGGCGGTATCAGGGAGTTATCACAGAAATGGGTCCAAAGGAGGCTGGGTGGTGGCACAGGGTAACCCAGCTTTACCCACATGAAAAAGGCCCCAGGTTTGTGTCCTAGGACCTCACGGAGCACTCTGGGCACCTGCATGCCTGTGATCCCAGCTGGTTGAGACTGTGGTTAGACTGCAGCGTAAAGACCACGGTAGGGATGCCTCTTTCTCATATGAAGGAAACAAACTTTTAAAAAACGAAACAGGTTAAAGAAATAAGAGGACTCTTGTTTCAGAGTCTCATTAAGGAGAGGTCCCTGAATCAGGCAGCCTTGCCCAACAATTAAAGCTAATAGTAGGAAGCTTAGAAAGGGCAAAGCAGGTAAGCACAACCGGGCCTGAAGAGAGGCTGTTTGGATTGCCCTGCCACTCCTTACCCAATGGGACATGTGGAGACTGCTGGTGCCTGACACGTCCTCACGTTTCCATACCCAGATCCATTACAAAAGCAGCCGATTCTATGCCACGGCTGGGAAAGGCCAGTGGGTGTGATAAGTCGGTTCTTGTGCCGGCTACAATGTCCTACACGCCATACACCGCGGTAGCCCTGCAGCCCCTCCTCCCCGCACCCACAGGTCCTGTACTGGCGTGGCCATTTCAGAGAGACCAGGTTTATTCTAACAAAGGACTCCAGGTTCATCTGCCAGTGATTGTGACTCAAGCCTCAAAACACCAATCACTCAGTAAAAACCAGAGCATGTAAGTGCCATGCTGGCCGGATCCCTGGCCCAGTGATTCAGGCAGCCAGGTCCCATGTGGCGGGCAGTGTGGTTCTAGTCCTGGACCAGCGGGAACACACCAGGGTTCATGTTCTGTGCTTGCCCAAAATCTCTAAAGGGAGAAATGGAGACAGGATTGCCGCATGCCCCCTCGTGGGGCGCTTTCTCCTCTCCCCTGTGTCTGTCTCTCTCTGACCAGTGCACATGCCCTCTAGCAAAGAAAACAAAATAAAAATAAACTTTAAACACAATGCCTTGAGAGAGAAAAAAACATTTAAAAAAAATTCCTAATGCCTTGTCCTGAATTAAGGATGTAATTAACTCTCAAAGCTTATTGTCAGGGAGGAACCAATGAGGCAAGGTGAAAATGACACCAGGCAAGAAAGATCAAATACAAAATATTCATTTAAGCAGAATCATTGCTGTTGAATGATTGACTCGCAGCCACCTTCTGTTTAACCACCGCCTGGACTTACGACAAGTTCTCCAGCCCAGGAATCCCCTTTCTCAGACCGCCTTGTTCTCACCGTTGGCGCACACGACGACCTACTTCCTTTATAGTTTTGTACCTTATTGTGTATCCACAGTATTGTAGTATTCAGAACAGATAAAAAAAAATATTGTGCCAGACTTACTGTTTTGTGGTGTGTCTTGTCGCTTTCTGCTGCTTACCCAATGTATGCTTTTTGTATGGATAGAATGAAGTTATTCCAGTATGATGTCGTGTGATAGCTATTAAAAAACATATACCCTCTGATGCCACAATACACCACAAGATATCCACCTTTTAGCTCCTCCCTTATTGACCAATTCCTTAATGACATAGTTGTAGGAATAGAACCCAGGCCTGTATTCATGTACTCTTTCATCCATTCATTTATTTTATAAACAGTTACAAAGACCTCCGTGCTGGGTTTCAGAGAAACAGAACTGATAATAACACAAAATCTCTTCTCAAAAGTACAATCAGTATAGCTGCTTTTCTATCTACTTTAAAAAGAGAGAGAGAGAGAGAGAGAGAGAGAGAGAGAGATTCTTGCTATAGGGTGCATGCACTAGCCAGAGAGACAGAAAGTGAGAAAGCATCCCCCAGGGGTGGTGGCCATGCCATAATCCCTTCTCCTCCATTTTCCTCCTGGGATCTTGGGCATGCACGCACATGTACCCAGCGTGATTTTGAAGCTATTGGGTCCTTAGTCAACACCACGGGAGTCCAGTGACTTAACCATTATGCTGTCTGCTGGTCCCAGTATAGCTGTTTTCAAATTGTGGAATGAATATGAACCACTTGCAATGATGATTTAAAATGAAGATCCCTAGGGTCCAGCTGCCAGGTGCCAGATAGTGTGTGGAAAGGCTCCAGGTCCCCTTTCTGGACCTGCATCAACACAACACAGGACAACACACACACTCAGGGAACACCTGTGACTCTGGCTTGGCTCAGGGAGGACTGCACAGGCTGATGACACTGACAAGGGTGCCTCTCTCTTTCCTTTACTCTCACTGAGAAAATCAAGAAACTAGAACAAATGGGGCCAATAGGTACTGTGGTGGTGAAGGCGCTGGACCTCACATGGCTGAATGCAATTTGAGTCCTGGACCTGGCAGCTTGCTTTCTTACTTTCTCTCGCTCGTTCTCTGTGTCTCTCTGGTGAACACATGTTCTCTGTAGTAAATTAAAAAATAATAACAACGATAAATAAAAACAAATAAATCATTCTTTTTTTAAAAGAAGACATATATAATGCAGATCCTTGGGACACTGTCCCCAAACCCTGCAATAAATTTTCATTTAGTTGGGCTAGGGTGGAGTCTAAGAGTCTTCCCTTTTTTTTTTTTTAATAGTACTTACAATGTCTGCAGTCTACAGGGCCTACTTAGACAGACACTGATTGGGCACACTGTAAGTGCATTCTGAAGGAACTGAGTGATCCAGAGCTAGTGTTTACAAGCATCTTCTTTAGAAGTCAGGTCACCTGGGACCAGCAGTGGGCATAATGGCTATGTCACTGGACTTCCATGTAGTCTACCGTGGTTTGAGTCCCGGACCCGGTGGCTGAAACTCTCCAGATCCCTAGAGGAGAATGGAGGAGAAGGGATTGCAGTGTGGCCATCACCACTGGGGGGTGATTTCTCACTTTCTGTCTCTCTGTCTCTCTCTGTTTTTCTGGTGAGCATACGTGCCCTATAGCAAAAACATCTCCAAAAAAAAAAAAAAAAAGTCAGGTCATCTGAATGTAGATTCAGCCCCTTGACTACCTGTTTGATAAGGGACAAATTATGTGACCTCTCTAAGAGGTTGTTTCATTTTAAATAAAATGGGAATAATAATTTCTATCCTTTGAGATTATTTTGAGAATAAAATGAAGTAATATGTGTCTGGCATATTACTTGGATGTAACAAGTGGTAACAGGTATTCAATATGTAGTTGCAATAGTTTAATAATTATTGCTGTTGGTGGCGGTATTACCACTACCATAGCAATTCACCAGAATTAAGCTATATTAATTTATATATCAGTATATAATATTAATATTTATATATATATATTAATACATGAGGACAATAGAGATTGTGGCTTTAACAAAAGTCAGGGGAGGAATTTAGGGAACTTTAACCTAACTGCACAGTGAAGGCATTGTATTAAACATTCTTCTACTTCATACAGGAATGAAAACAGAACTGATTAGTAGTGTGTTTTCTGACATAATTGAATATCTACATGTTTTTTACAGGGTTTTTTTGCTATAAGGTGTGTGCACTCACTAGAGATTCAGAAAGCAAGAAATCATCCCCTAGGGTGGATGGCCAGGCCTCAATCCCTTCTTCTCCATTCTCCTCTAGGGATTTTGGGTACTCATGCATACGTGCTCAGCATGAGTTTTAAGTCGCCAAATCCAGGACTCAAGCCTTGGTCAACTATGTGGAAGTCCAGCAACACAACCATTACACCATCTACTGGTCCCCTTGCATGTCTTCATTTTATGAAAACAGTAGTAAATGGTGGCAGGGGAGTCACTCCACCTAAACATGCCCTCTATTATGTTTGCAATGATGTTATAAAATGGGAATAATAATCTCTACCCACCAAGATATTTTTCAATTTGTAAGACATGTTAATAAGTTTCTCCCCAAAGAAGGTTTGCCAATACTTCCTTCTACCATCAAAATAAAAATATCAATTTATCTGATAGAGATATCAAAATGTGATTTGATTGATACATTGACCATTACACTCCTTTCTCCACAAGTATTCTATTCCCTTCCTCTGTTCAGTTATCTAGTAGAGACGATTGATGTTGGTTCATTCATTTTATTCCATCCTTCCTTCCAAAGCACCACTTCAGATTTTTCATGGAATGAGGCTTGAATATATTATTTGTTAGAGCACAATCTAGAAGGATATATTTCTGTGCTCTCGCACAGCAGTCTTACAAAAAGATTATACAAATTTACTTCACAGAATTTCTTTTTGATGAGAAGCCTATTAATGTTTCCTTTCCCAGGTACACTCCAAATGTGGCAGCTTTTAGCCGCAACATGCTGGGTGTTTCTTCTCGGACCTCTATATGGTTGTGATAAGAAAAGAAGCATCACAAATCCTGAAGCTAATATGAATATTGTAAGTCATTCTTTCAAAAAGGGAAAAAAAAGATAAGGGATTATTAATTTGTCATCCTCTTAGGTACAATTGGTAGTCCTGTTTAGTTTTCAACAGTTCCTCCAGCATCCAAATCTGTGCTTCCTCCCCTATTCTTTACTGTGGCTAATGAGTCCAAGAGCTGAAAGACTGACTCAAGTTGGATCAGTAATATTGTATCTTCTGGTGTTTTGATGATCTACTATCTAAGATCGTTCTGAGTTAATACTGGTGATCTCTATAGAATATCTTTGAGGTTTTCTTAAGCCTATTTTTTAGTTTTCTGTATTTATTGAATTTTTGAGAGAGAGAGACAGTCAGCCATTCTCAACAGGTCTTCACACTGTGATCCTCTCTCCCGTCCTGCAGCCAGCCAGGGTCACAGGTACACCTGGCATGTTGACACAGACACAAGAGGTGAGCCTGGAGCCTCCTCGCACGGTCTCCAATGTCACGCAGTCACACCACTGCCTGTGTCACTACAGCTGGGCCCCTGAGAATTTCTTGACAACAGTTTCTTTGATTCTGTGAGCTATACTACTGGGTGTTTTTGTGGTTTAATAAGACAGGGTTGCCTTCTGTTGCTTATAATCAAAATTATAACTTAAAAAATAATTTATTAATTTATCCCAGAATTGAAATGGAAACATGCTAGGGAAGAAGAGAAAAAAAGACAAATGATAACTGTCCACCATAGCTCCATCCCAGTGGAACACTCCATACTCTGGTACACACACACACACAACCCCCATGCCATTGACATCCTCACCACACCCAAGCTTATATTAGGACTTTAAGAAGCATGAAACTGTTGGGACCAGCAGTTAGCATAATGGCTATGTCACAGGACTCCCATGTAGTCGACTGCAGTTCAAGTCCCAGACCCAGTGACTTGAACTCACATCATGCTTGTGTGCATGCGTGCCCAAGATCCCAAGAGGAGAAAGGAGCAGGGATTGGGGCATGGCCATCCCCCCTGAGGGGATGATTTCTTGCTTTCTGTCTCTCTGTCTCTCTCTGTCTTTCTGGCGAGCGCACATGCCCTATAGCAAAAACCTCTCTCAAAAAAAAAAAAAAAAAAAGAAGCAAAAAGCTGTAAAAATATTGCATTAGTGTGTCTTCTTTTTCTTCTCTTCAAAGTAAAAAAAAAAAAAAAAAAAGAAGCAAAAAGCTGTAAAAATATTGCATTAGTGTGTCTTCTTTTTCTTCTCTTCAAAGTAATTCACAAATTCTCTCAAAAAAAAAAAAAAAAGAAGCAAAAAACTGTTAAAATATTGCATTAGTGTGTCTTCTTTATCTGCTCTCCGAAGTACTTCACAAATACTACTGACTTCCTACACACTGCTGAACTCACAATTAATAAATACATGTTCAAATCCAACATTTCCTCTCTTTCCCATATTCACACATATAATTTTACTTCCTAGGTTGAGTGCTTATTGGTTGTTAATCCTTCTTTAATAATAATAACATACTGTTATAGAACACTTTCTTCATGATAGGCACTGTTCTAGATACATTATGCACAACCTGCTCAACAAATCTGTGAGAAGAGACTATTCTTACATCCAATAAGTAAGGCGCAGAAAGTTAAGTAACTTGTCCAACATTGTATAGCTAAGAAGAAGGGCAGGATTCAGTGCCACATGGTCTGGGCTCTTATCCACTGTTCCATGTTGCCCGTCATTCATACACTCATTCCACAGAACTGACATGAGCAAATGTATAAGGTGGTGATACGGGCACAGACTTTGGAGTTAAATTTACTTTGGCATTAATCTTGTCTTCATCTCTTATTAATGTATAATCTTACACAAGTTATTATTGCTCCTGAACTTTAGTTTTCTCCACCGTGAAATGGGTACAATTCTATCTCGAAGTCCTCTTGTGAGGATTAAAAAGACTGGATATGAAGTTCTGTGCAGAAAATAGCCAATAAACACTGGTTTCCCTCTTCCCTGAGTATTTGCAGATAGGACCTTTTTGGGTGACCACTTACATACACTCTCTGGTCTTTTATGCCTTTCCCTCTTCCCAAGAGGCTGACCTATAAAGGCTAGGTTTGCAAGCTTCACCTTTGTTTTCAGTTCCCTTCGGCTAAGGGAGTTGTTGGGCAAGAGAAGGGAAGGAAGGAAGAGAGTGAGGTAAGGATTTGTGTTGCCCTTGGTCCTTCCCTGTGAAGTCACCTCAGACAGGCTGTCTCCCTTAGTGTGACTCTCTGTGCTTGACTTTCTCTTTTTGGATTCTGGTAGCTACTTTCTCCCAGCTCCCTTCAGGTCTAAGTTAACATCTCATTATTATTAGCTGCAGGGTACTGCATTCTGTCTGTGGTTTCCTTCGTCCCATTGAGTTTCTTGTCAAAATATTTTGAGAATAAACTAGGGTACATAAATAATACTAGGCCAACAGGTTTAACCAGCGACTGTCCTGAGCAAATCAAGATATAGGGTCACCCCACCCTGTCTTACCTGCAGGCAACCTTTCTAGAAATCCTCCTCAAGTTATACTTTTTCTGCCATACTCTGTCCCAATACAAAGACTGATGAATAGTGGGTTGCAATCTACAGTACTATATTTCATGGCCGGCTTTGTGGCCTGGTAGTTAAGGGAGCAAGAAACCACATGGTCAATAGCAGTTCAAATCCTGGGTCCAGCAGCTTGAAAAATGTCTGGCATGTGTGCCCAAAGTCCTAACAGAATGGAGAAATGGAAGAGAAGAGATTACAGCATGATCTTGCCCTATGCCCATCGGGGTGGTGGTGAGGGGGGTGATTTCTCATGCACTTTCAAGCTATTAAGAAGAAAAGCACTTTATTGCAATCTATGCATAAAAAATAAGAGATTACAACATAAAGGTATATATTTTCCTTTCTTTTTTTTAGAGCCAGATAATTTCTTATTGGGGTTATCCTTGTGAAGAGTATGATGTTGTAACAAAAGATGGTTATATCCTTGGAACTTATAGGATTCCTCATGGAAGAGGATGCCCAAGGAAAACAGGTATGATTTATTTTGTTATGAAAGGAAAAATAGTGAAAGCAGAGATGCCCGATGTCCTGGTTGGAGCAGAGCTTTTGTTCTGAAATTGATCACAGCTCCTTCCATTAGAGGAAGAAATTTATGGCCTTCAACTCTCTATTTAATTTGTATAATTCTTTAAGACTTTCAGTCATTTGCATATATACCATTTATTTGGTCCCTCCTTTTATCCATGGCTTTGTCCTTCTTCCAAACAAACACAAAAACAAAAAGAAATGTGTTCTTACTTCAGTGATATCACTACAGTTTTTTTTTTTTTTCTAGAGAGAGATTTTTGCTATACAGCATGTACACTCATGGAGAGATGCAGAGACTGAGACAAAAAGTGAGAAATCACTGCCCCCCCCACCTCCGGGGGTGTGTGAGGGGGATGGCCATGCCACTATCCCTTCTCCTCCATTCTCCTCTTGGATTTTGGGCATGCTCACATATGTGTCTGGTTTGAGTTTCAAGCCTCTGGGTTTGGCATTAGAACTGTGGTTGGCCATGTGCGAGTCCAGCAGCATAACCATTGCATTATCTCCTGGTTCCACCACTGTACAGCTTTAAAAACCAGACTCTGGAAGTCATTCTTGACACCACCTTCTCCCTCATCTCCTACAGGCAGCCGATCCCCAAGACTTATCAATTTTGCCTTCTAAATTTCTCTCATACCTAAAAATTTATCTCAGCTATGATGTCACTCAAATTCAGATTTGAACACAATCCCGTCAACTACAACAATGCCTTCTAACTGGTATTAATCCACTTGTAATCATTTCTCTCCCCAAGTCAGGGTAATTTTATTTTTTAAAATCAGTATGACCCTATTAGTCTGTGTTTAAACATCACTAGAGAGTTGTTTCTACCTCACATCGAATAGATTGTCATCTGTAGAAAATATGAAACACCTATTTGGCAGAAATGGTTTGCTTTCTTCTTTCATGAAGCTCATCTTTGGTGTGTTGTATAACAAAACTGAGAAAAAGATGAATTATTTAAAAAAGGTCTCGACTTTTACAAAGAAGGGGGATTATAATGCTATTGCTATCTTTACAAACATTTCTCACAAGAATGCCATTATCTTCGTAGTCATGAGAACTTTAATCTCCCCAAATTTTTCTCTTACAATTTCTACCACATAGCTACCAAAATGCATGAGATGGAAAATTCCATGCCAAGAAGCTGCCCAGGGAATCCCATCAGAGGGAGGCTTGGGCTAGGACGCTACCTGGCAGAACTTAATATTGGCAGAGTCAATAGCATCTCTTCATGCTCTTTTTCCAAAAAGTGAATAAATGGACATAGACTTGTCATTTCTTGCTTTTAAATGGAAGTCTCTCTGAGAGTCCACTCTAGCTTATCCACTCTGAGGAAGTCAGTTTAGCCCCTGAAGTGACCTGAGGTGAGTCCTGAGATACCCACACAGCATCACAGCCCATTTATAAAGGAGTGGAAAAGCCTCGCCATTTCTTCTCTGCCTCCTCTCTTTTTTTTTTGGAGAGATTTTCACTGTAGGGCGCGTGCGCTTGCCAGACAGACAGAGAGAGAGACATAGAGACAGAAAGCGAGAAATCACCCCCCAGGGGGGATGGTCACGCTGCAATCCCTTCTCCTCCATTCTCCTCTCAGGATCTTGGGCATGCACGCACACGCGCCCGGCGTGAGTTTTTTAAGCCACCGGGTCCGGGACACGAACCGCAGTCAACTACGTGGGAGTCCAGCGACATAGCCATTACGCTAACTGCTGGTTCCCTCTGCCTCCTCTCTTTTGAGGAAATCTCAAGCTTTTGTAATCAGAAGCTTCTTGAAAAATACCACACTATTAATATTGATAGTTAGAGGGTTATAGTAATAGGGCTAATGTTTATTGCACTGGACAGTATCTTAGATATTTTAATTCTTACTGAATCTCACAACTACCATATGAGACTGTATTTGCTATTATTTCCAGTATACTGTTAGGTTAACTGAGGTACAAAGGGAGTAATACATGACAGAATGGATTTTGAACCAGGGCAGTAAGACTCCAGTGCCTACATAACAGCACAATACAAGAGGGCATCTAAGAGTTAATGGAAAAATGGAATTAAAGTACACATCGATTTTGTGCAAAAATTTTTGAAATCCATGCGTATCTTTTTCATAACACACATTTTCCATGACTATTTTGAAGACCTCTTGTATATAATAAATCACACCAGTTTACAAATGAGAAAAACAGGACATACAGAAGGTAAATAACTTGTCCAATAAATAGTGCAGATGGGACTAGACCCCACATATGCCTGACACAGAATTTTGTGTCCCCTCCTTTCTTCTAGGCTACAGAAAGTGAAGAAGGAGAACTTCCCTGTAGACACTGAAGAAGTTCAGACGTAAAACTCCTGCTGCTCCTGTTTTGCAGGTCCCCAGCCTATCGTGTATTTGCAGCATGGCGTAATTGCATCTGCCAGTAACTGGATTTGCAACCTGCCCAACAACAGCTTGGCCTTCCTTTTGGCAGATATGGGTTATGACGTGTGGTTGGGGAACAGCCGGGGAAACACCTGGTCCAGAAAGCACCTGAAGTTGTCACCCAAATCACCAGAATACTGGGCCTTCAGGTAAGGTGAAACCTACTAACGAATTCAGTGTGTACTTCACTCATTTACATGAAGGGATGCCTGTTGATTTTTCTCTTTCTACTCAAATCTACAGGAAGTTCACAGGGATGAAACAAAACTTTCTTCCTCCATCAAGGCTTTCTTCACAGACTCTAAAGAAACGCTCTTATTATTAAATTGCTGTTAGGTTTTATTGTTTGCTTGTTTGTTTGTTTTGAAAGATTTTTGCCTTAAGGTACATGTGCTCGCTAAAGAGACAGAGGCACAGAGAGACAGAAAGTTAGAAATCACCCCCCAGAGGGGGTGGCCATGCCACAATCCTTTCTCTTTCATTCTCCTCTTGGGATTTTGGGCATGCATCACACACGCCTGTCAAGACCAGAGCCTGAATCACAGTCAGCCACATGACAGTCCAGCATCCTAACCACTCTACCACCTGCTGGCCCTGTATTGTTCTTAGTTTTTTGTTTTGTTTTGTTTCTGGTGAGGTTTTTGCTATAGGGCATGTGCACTTGCAGAGAGACAGAGAAAGAGAGAGAGAGAGAGAAAGCGAGAAATCACCTCCCAAGGAGCATGACCATGCCTCAACTTCTTCTTCTCCATTCTCCTCTTAAGTTTGTAGGCACAAACATGCACTTGGTGTGAGTTTTAAGCCATCAGGTCTGGGACTTGAACCACCGTTGACTACGTGGGAGTTCAGCGATATAACCATTATGCCATCTGCTGGTTCCTTATTGCTAGTTTTAAAGCTCCTGCTTCCTTCCTGGTGTGTGTGCGCCTATGTCCTGGGGGAAGTAAGGAGAAAGTTTGAGCTCAGAATGACTCAGATCAGAGTGTTATCAAGAGCGGCATCTGGAAATGCTGCCTGCTCGGGAACCAGGACTGCTTGGTCCCAGGCCAACCCCAGGTACTTGCACAGGATCTAAAACCAAGCCTCAGAGATCACTAACACTGTTTGTTCTTTGGCCTCATTCCTCTCTTCTTTCTAGAGGCCTGTTTGTCCTTTCCTAACTCTAACCCCAGTGCAGTTGGGTCACTGAACTATTGCAAAAGGACAAGATGATTCCCGAGCTGAGTGTCTCCAAAATAAGCAGAGGATCAGAAGAACCTGAGGCCCTGGTAAATGTGCAGGTTACCAGGTCTCTTCCCTGCAAATTTTGATTCCATTGGTTTAAGCTGGGATCTGCAAATCTGTTTCCTTATTACTCTATTTTGTTTTTAGGTAAACTTACCAGACAATTGATATTTTCAGAGGAGTTGGTAAATCTTTTATGGAATTAAGAGAAATGTCTAGCCTTATAAGGAAAGCATCAGTATGCCTTTATAAAACCTTTTTTTTTCCTGATTCTAGTTTCTTAAAAAATTTTCTCTTTATCAAGACCTTCTATAACATCTCATTGACAAAATGGCCTCTGATCTTATCTGAGAGGAGCAGTCCCACTACTTAGTCCCAGCTAGGGTTCAACGCTGGAGGGCTGAAGAGCAGCAGGAGCAGGAGAAAGGGAGCTAAAGGATAAACATCTTGTCCTTTTGTTTTCTTTGAATAAATATTCCTCTGAAGCACAAAAACTAAAGTTTTCTCTTGCAATGGAGTTGATATCTCAAAAATTGTTCGGGTGCATATCACATGTTAACTCTAATATTTATTTTTAAAGTAATTTTATTTCTTTTATGGGAGGGCATCCACAATAGGGTCCTTACAAGACTATTCATACTTACCCTCATTCAGCCCAGATCCTAACATGCATGTGTGTGCCTGACAGGCACAGGGAGACCTTGGGCAGTGGACCTAAAGACACCAGCTCCCAACATACACACCATATTTGTCTAATCATGCCACTACTGCACCTCCTCTGCCCTAATCTAGTATATATTTAACCAGCGCAGAGTATCTATATCTCAATGAATGTGTTTAACACATACCTGACAAAAAGATGTCTTCTCCAATATTGTTATTCCTTCTCTTTGACAGTATGGATGAGATGGCTAAATATGACCTTCCGGCCACAATCGATTTTATTTTGAAGAAAACTGGACAGCAGCGACTCTACTACGTGGGCCATTCCCAAGGCACCACCATAGGTGTGGCTGGGGTAGATATGATCAGAAAATGTCCAGACTCTTCTTCCATGTTTATAGAAGGAACAGTATTTCTTCTGTCTGTGTAGTCTCTAGTTTCAGGACTTGAATTAGGAAGCCATATCCTGAGATGGGTTTCTGAAGAATTTGGAGATTAATAGATGAGCCTGAAGCAGAGGGAATTATTCACTTCTTCATTTGTGCATACAGAAAACACTCGTCAAACCCTGGGTTAGATCTGGGAAACACAGATTAAAATGGTATCCATCCTTCCCTTGAAGGGAAATGTAGTGTGGGTCAACAAAAAGAAGGCCGATAATTATAAAACTCAGTGATTATGTGCCACAATCAGTGTGACTTTGAGTTGCCAGGGAGGTGCTAATGCAGACAAAATGTGGGTTGGACCATGCTGGCAGTGTCATGAGGCACCTCAGTCCCCTCACGATTCGCCATTTGGCTGTAGGTCTCCATAACCCCAAAATTATTACTACGACTCTGTTTTCTTTTTCTTTAATTTTTTTAAAGTTTACTAACTTATTTCTTCCATAAGTAATAGAGACAGAGAGGAAGAGCGAAATGTCATCCTAAACAAGGTCTTGACACTGGGACCTACTTCCTCACTCACCTAGCCCTGGATCGTGGGCTTACTCACACCCGGTTTACTCAGGGAGACCTCCAGAAAAGAACTGGGAAACTTTCCATGTGGATCTGCCTTGCAGAGTGTTGCATTTTACCACTGCATCACTGTCTGGACCTTCCACCAGTCTGTTTTCTGTATCTTAATTCTAGTCAGATTTCTGAAGGGAAGCAGGTCTATAGATACCTGTAGTGTACTATGCATCTGACATACATCTTCTCATTGGAAGCTACAAACCTCTGAAACCATTCTCATCTCCATTTTACAAATGGCTGAATTTAAGAATTCTAATGGTGGGAACCAGCAGTTAGCATAATGGCTTTGTAGCTGGACTCCCACGTAGTCGACCGCGGTTCACGTCCCAGACCCGGTGGCTTAAAACTCATGCTGGGCGTGTGTGCGTGTGTGCCCAAGATCCCGAGAGGAGAATGGAGGAGAAGGGATTGCGGCGTGACCATCCCCTCTGGGGGGCGATTTCTCGCTTTCTGTCTCTATGTCTCTCTCTGTCTGTCTGGCGAGCGCACGCGCCCTATAGTGAAAAAAAAAAAAAAAAAAAAAAAAAACCTCCCAAAAAAATTAAAAAAAGAATTCTAATGGTAATAGTGAAAAGCAACAAATTAAGTTTCACATATTTATATATTTATATAGGTAATAAAGGTTAATCTACATAATTTAACTTTTATAAGAATCATCCTTAAAAATTATATTACCCACATGTATAATTTGAGAAAACCAAGACACAGAAGAGGTAACTTGACCAAGTTTTCATATAATTCAATGGGAAGCTAAAATTATAACCCAGCATGCCTCATACCAAAGACTACGGTCAAGTTGGATAGGTCAAGTTTACCTAGATCTGCTCCTCAATGTATATTTAAACCTCCCTTCAGCACCCTATAAGTGAACTTGTACTCCCTAGAGATAGGAAACTCACTTTATTCTGAATTAATTAGGCAATTCCAGCATTGCAAAATGTACACATTTTTCTCTACAAATGGTACTTACTCTGAGTTTCCTGTTTATTCATTTTATTTTGTTAGATGTCTACTCTTACCATCATTTAAAATGAATAATTGTTTTAAATGAATTATTTTCTCTTTCAGCTTTCATAGCATTCTCTACAAATCCAGAACTGGCTAAAAGGATTAAGATATTTTTTGCACTAGCACCAGTGGTCACAGTGAAATACACACAAAACCCTATGAAAAAACTCACAAATCTTTCCAGACAAGGAGTCAAGGTATGCAACTGCCCTGAGTTTAAATCTGAAGTAACTAAAAACTCTGTTTCCACTGTTTCCAGAGAAGAACAAGACATTTTACAAACTTCCAAGAGTGTATGAAGTGTCGAAGGTATCCACGTAGGCTTACTGGTGATGTGCAATGCTATTAGCAAGGTTCAAGGAGCTCGCTCTGAAGACACTCTACCTGATTGTCTTCATTTATGCTTAGAAGCTTCTCTCCCATGCCAGCTCTTCATTGCAGCTAAAATGAGTGATGATTCAATGGATTTGTTGAATCTGGTAGATTTAATTTGTCTCAAGTGGTCTCTGATTTTTCAAGGACAGTACAGGGTAGTATTTGAGTTTATCACACGGAGCCAAGTGGCATGGATTTGAATCATATATCATGATTTTTCTAGCTAGGTAAATTTGGCCAAGACTTAAGTCCTCTTCTTCTGTAATATGGAGATAGTAGTAGTCCTGTCTCATACGGCTGCTGTGAGAATTCAGTGAGTTAATACCAGCAAATCCTTTGAAACCAAGCCTTGCCCAATGTAAGCCTTTAATAAATGTCAGCAATTGTTTTTGCTGTCATTAGTTTTGAACGCACACCCTCTGCCCATCAGTAAATGCCCAACCTTGCTTTATTTCCTGCCACTTGCCAAGCTCCGATACCAAATCCCCAAAACCCAAATAATAGCCTGTGCCCCGCTGTGTCTTCTGGTTGATAGCTAACTAATCTGATCATTAATCTAGCCCAGGTGAATTGTGGGTTAATACATTTTCCAGTTGCATTTTAACATGGGCTTTTCCCACACCAATCACCTTCCCTGGTGGTGACCGTGCTGCTCCGTGATTTCAGTGATAGCAGATGGAGAAAAACAGTTCTTACAGAAGCCAAGAATTCTGATTTCTGAGAGCTAAGAAAATTAGCCTATGGTCATTTGAATGCATATCCATCCAACCTAGAAAGACAAGTAACATAAAAGTCACCAGGAAATGCTTACATTGCTCTCTTAGTACTTGGGCCTCTTATACTATGGAGACTTTTGCTGGTCCCTCAATGTTGAGAAAAAAAAAAAAAAAGATTTCTTGCTAAGTTATTCAGCATTCCCATACCATTAAAAGAGATTTTTGGATAGCAGGATCTTGTCATTCCCCTCAATTTGCACAGGTCTGCCTCAAACTTCCACATATTTAGACATGCGTGGAATGTGGTGCAATGCACATCAATTCAACAACAAAAGTCTATCTAGGAGTGACGGTTTTAAAACTGTGACTGCAGTGAATAGCTATGTCTCTAAGGAGATTTTTCAGCCAATTGATATGACTGAAAATGAGCATGAGCGTGAGAGTAGTAGGAGAATCAAGTAAAGGGAGAGTGCAGGATGATCAGTGCAGGATGGTTCTGTCATGTTAGAGAGCTTAGATTTCGTTCTGGGCAGCCATTGATGAAAATTAAATGGAGAAAGGGTTTGATCACATTTGTAAGTTTGGAAAGATTTCCCTTTCAAAACTGTAGCTCGATAGAGGAACTGAAATTCTGAAAGACGAGCTACTACGTATTACCCTCATATGTCTAATAGACATTGCGGTACCGTTATGATGACAGAACAAAGAGATTGCTAGGCAAACTTGAGAAAATAATGGAACTCCTTACAGCTGTTGGAATCACAGAAGACTTTTTAAGAAGACCTGACACTTGAGTTTGGGTTAAGGACAACATTTCAGTATACAGACAAGTACAGAAAGACTGTGTAAACCAAGAAGAAATGTAACACGGAAGTGAGGAAGCTCAGGCCATGGGAAATGTCATATCACTGATTTCACTGGGGCTCGAGCTTTGTGAAGGAGAGTAAGAGAAATAATATTGGAAAAATAGTGGTAAGTTGAAAGAACTTGAATATCAAGTTAATGAGTGTGGGATTTACTATATGTACTAGGTCATCAAGGAACATTTACCGGGGAATCACATGTATTTTTTGTTTTTTAAGAAATGTTCTTGCATTAACCACTGTAAGTAGATGGGAGTGAAGGACATCAAGAGTGGTAGAAGGTCAGCCATGGTGGCACAGTGGCAACACAACACTCCACAATGTTGAAGACATATGGGGAACCAGCAGTTAGCGTAATGGCTATGTCGCTGGACTCCCATGTAGTCGACTGCGGTTTGCATCCTGGACCTGGTGGCTTAAAACTCACGCCAGGCACATGTGCGTGCATGCCCAAGATCCCGAGAGGAGAATGGAGGAGAAGGGATTGCGGTGTGACCATCCCCCCTGGGGGGTGATTTCTCGCTTTCTGTCTCTATGTCTCTCTCTGTCTGGCGAGTGCACATGCCCTATAGCAAAAATCTCTCAAAAAAAAAAAAAAAGAAAGAAAAAAAAAAGAAAAAAGACGTATGAAAAGGTTCTGGGTTCATATCCTAAGATCTCCTTATATATGCTGGCACACACACGCATGATCCTGGCTAGCTGTAGCTAAAGGTTAATTGGGGCATGAAGACCCTGTTGGGGATGCGTGTGTGTGTGTCTCTCTCTATTTCTCCCTCAGAAATAAACAAAGGAGGGAGCAAAAATGAGGAAAACAGTAATGAAATTATTGTTACATACCAGCTGATAGATGTTAGGGGGCTGAACGAGAGTTATGCAAAAAGAAGATAAATGCACAAGATTTGGGACCAGCAGATGGCGTAATGATTACATCTCTGGACTCCCACGTAGTAGACTGCAATTTGAGTCCACATAGCAGCTGGTGGCTTAAACTCACACCAGGCATATGTGTGTGTGTGCCCAAAGGAGAATGGAAGAGAAGGGATTGAGCCTTGGTCATTCTCCCTAGGGGGGTGATATCTTGCTTTCTGTCTCTCTGTCTTTCCAGCAAGAGCACATATCTATAGCAAAAATCTCCCTAAAAAAAAAGAAAAAACAACAGCAACCAAAAAAAAAAAAAAAAAAAAAAAAAAAAAACAAGAACCAAAAAAAAAAAAAAAAAAAAGAAGAAGAAGAAGAAGAAGAAAAAAAACACTACAAGATTTGACAATACAGATAACTAGCATCTACTTAGGTATATTAAAAATGTTCCTAGAGGAGAGCTTGCTCTGTCCTCTCCATTAGCCAGATATTCTCATGCACACTGGAGAATGGCTGCCTTTTTCACTAGAGAGCTCCTGGACTGAGATAACCCCTTTTTCTCTCTCTGACTAGCATCTTTCTTTCCATTAGCATCTGCAACTTTAATTTCAGTTGTTCCTTTGTTTCTACTAAGCTCAACTCAGTTCACATAATGCAAGGGCATAAGAATTTGAGGCAGGCAGAGCAGAGTTCACTTTCTGCCTTTGCCTACTGTCATTTGTGACTTTAGGCAAGTTATTTAACTGTTCTAAGCCTCAGTTTTAACATTTATCAAATGGGTAGATTTGTTAAGTTGGGAGATTCATTGAGATAATATATGTTTAAACATCATACCTAGCTAATAGTAAAATAATTAATAATAGCCAGTATTACTTTTCTAAGCTTGTGTTTGTTTGATGTCATAGGAAGTATGTATTCACTGAAGAGAGACAGAGAGAGGGAAAGTGAGAAATTACCCCTGTCCTCCCCAGGGAAGATGGCCATGCCTCTCTCCTTTTGAGATTTTGGGCATGCATGTACCCATGCCCAGAGTAATTTTCAAGCCACTGGTCCAGGACTTGGCCACAGTCAGTCAAGCAGGAGTCCAGCACCTTGACCATCATACCACCCGTTGGTTCCAATAGCTAGTATTATTAATTATAATAATTGGGTTAATTTTGAACTCAGAGTCACAGCACTTGGTGTTGTTTACCTGTTCACCCTGTCCTTCCTTTTCACTCCCCATTCAGCACCAAGGTCTTCACGCCTTTGTGTTCTTGTCTCCCTTCTTTTCTTTCTTTTTTTTTTTTTTAATGACCTTTACCCTGCCTTGACTGCTCTTTACACATTCTCTATGATACTAAGGATTATTATTACTGTCTACATTTCTTAAAAGAAGAATCTGAGACTCAAAGAGACTAAGCAACCTATTCTAAATCACCCAGCTAGTGAGTGGCAACGCCAGAATTTGAACCTACATCTGATCAGTGGTCTTGCTTCTGTGGGTAGTTTCTCCACTTTTCCAAAGTTAACTCAGAGAAATCTGTCATGGATCTTCTTGCACCAATGCACAAGGGTGTCCAGCTTAGCTTAGGGGAGTGTTGAATCATGTTCATGTTTTGCTTGGCAGAATGTGGCCCCTGATACAGAACCATGTCCCCAGAAGTAAGAGTGCCTTTCCTGATTCTCACAAAGGTATAAAAAAGAGCTACTAGAAGCCTCTTTGTTCATATGTGACAAACATGCCCTCTCCAGAACTGTCTTGGAACTACATCTACAAGTTAGTTGTGCATAGTAGGGCAGGCTAGCCTGTTTTACTATCTCCTCTTTTAGGGTTAGGTTAAAGGAGCAATTACTCATCCTTGAGTAAAAATGCAGTAATGGGTATGCAGGTGGAGTAAAGTCAGAGGCTGTCATCCTTATTACCCTGTATTTTGGAAAGCCAATTATCAGAACAGAGATCAAGAGTCCTTTTCCGTATTTATAATGTCTTCCTTCCATCATAGTTTCATAGTTCATTGCTTTCACAAACTGGCTCCTATCCTTCACATAAATTTTCAGCCAAGCGTGGATAAAGAAGGATTGATAAATAAAAAATGAAAATGTTCACTGATGAAACCCCACCTTTTACTTCCATTATTAGTTCATGTAGCAATCTACTTAGGTTGTCGATCTCTTTAGGTTGTCCCACTTGAGAACTGGGAAAAGAGGTAAACATTCTTTTGAAAATAAGTTCACTTTATGAATATATGCTGTTACTATTATTAAATTATTGTAAGGAAAGTTACATAGGACGAGTTCCAGTTTGGTAAATGAGCTAAGTTAGTTATCTGCTGTATTATGCAAGGGTCTCAATGATTGTGACAAAATGAAGAAGAAGCCAGAATGAATCAGATAATGTCTGCAATGGCTTATTACTTTCCAAACCTAAAGAACAACAGAGAAGTAAATGACTTGAAATAGTTTAACATACTCTATTTCTTCTCTTCCTGTCCTTTCCTGATCTCTCCCTTTTTCTCCTCCCTTCACTTTCTCTCTCTCTCCGCTTGTTCATGTGCAGGTGCATACATACACATGTTCCCTGTCTTTATAAAAAGAAGAGTGTCAAAGATTCTGGAAAGAATGATCCATTAAGTCTGTATCAGCCACTAATAATAGCAATTATTACTTTTTGAGTATTTATTAGGCACTAGAAACTGCATTAGGTGTCTTTTAGACATGATCTATCATCTTTACAACATTCCTACATGGTGGATATCGATTTTTCTCATTTTAAGTATGAGAAAATTCAGAACCTCAGAAATGAAATATTTTCCTAAGATGTGAGACATAATCTAGAATCAAACACTGGTATGCCTTACTCCTAAGCCCTGCCAATTTCTTATGAAAACTAATTTCAAAGGGAGCATTCAAAAGAACACTCAATTAAGGGAAGAGACATTGAAAGAAGACTTAAGACTACGAAGATAAAATTTAACAAACCTCCTGCTTTTAAGGAGGACCAACACAGCAGATGTCACTTCTGTCAGGCCCTTTTATTAATTGCTATCCATTTCTCCACTCTTGCTATCTGCATCCATGAGTTCTGCTGATGTTTTAAATTGATCTTGCAGGTATTGTTTGGGGACAAGATGTTTTACCCTCATACATTTTTTGATCAGTTCCTTGCCACCAAAGTGTGCAGCCGGAAGCTATTTCATCGTATTTGCAGCAACTTCCTATTTAGTCTGAGTGGATTTGATGCAAACAACTTAAACATGGTATGTATAAGTAGTTGGGTTTAGAAGAGCAATTGTTTTGCACAAAAGTGATGAGAGTTCATTCTGGTTTGCTTGGAAATCACATTTTAAGATTTTCCTTTTGAAATTAAATGAGTATGTACATGGTTTCCAACCACAGCTGAGTCTACCTGCTTTAATAGGAAGATTTAAGAAGGCTTTCTTGCCAAAGAAATGGCTAGAACACAACGATTGACAAAGTACTTTATTTAGATTAAGATTGCGGTTTTGAAATTTATCTTGCTGTACCTGAACTTTATCGCAGACCTACTTATATGGAATCTGAGGGAGTGGCTCCAGGCATTCGACTTCTTAAACCAATTTTCTTCTTTCATGAGTGATTTTTGAAATAGTCATTTTTAAAAACACTTTCTTTATCCAAAGAGATGACAGATTTACTGTTCAAGGAATTCGGAAAAGGGTCAGTGTTGGGATTCTTGTCAAGTAATTTCCACTTGCACTAAGGCCCTTTCCTTTCCAAGTTACCACTCGCTGATCTGAAGAGTGGGAGGAGGAAAGAGAGAAATGTATTGTTTACTCTCCAGTTAGAGGGGAGATATGTCTGAAACCAGAGTAAGACACAGCCGAGGATGGTCTCCAGTTATCTCCACAAACTTCTGCTCAGAGTTGTCTTCCTCTGTCAGTGAAAAGCACTGATTAAAATTTTCCTTGCTCTCAGACAAGACTTATGAAGTACTTTTTAATGTACTTTGCCTTCCCACATTCCTTTCTTATTTTCTCCATCTGTCAGTGAAAAGCACTGATTAAAATTTTCCTTGCTCTCAGACAAGACTTATGAAGTACTTTTTAATGTAAAGCGTGCTTTCTCCATTGCCTTTCCACATTCCTTTCTTGTTTTCTCCATTCACTGGGGAGACTGTGCTTTCTTATCACTTAGATGGAAGCATTTCATGTAGAAGAAAGCTTATCACATAGGCCCAGCGAAGTAAAAAGATGTGGAGGGCCTCCTTGTCCTTGTACATAGGTCACCTTTTGTCTAACTGCTATTGACTAAATTATGATCTATTAAAACCTGTAAGAAGCACAGTAAAGCATAACTTGGAGTCCCTTAGGGGAACTTTGAAAAAAAAAATACACTTATCCAGATCTCAACCCCAGTGATTTTGATTTTGATTGAGTAGGTTTGGTTAACTCATAAGTAGGTAATATGTTTTTAAACTCCAAGATGTTTCTGATGCTCACCTTGGTGGGAAAATGACTCTTTTTATTTGTTTAAGAACAATGCAATTAAACATATAAAAGAATAAGAATTTTTAAATAAAAAAAATTTAGATTTTTTTATCCAGACATCTAAATTTGGTAGATGGATTCTGCCCCACAAACTTTCGAAGAACCCTGTAGAATATTTATCACATTTTAAAAAATCAGAATACAAATGAAACATCTAGATCTATTTCTTGGTGTCTTTGTCTGAATGTCCTTTGGGACTTAACACAAGGTGAAGAAGATGGAGATCGGGGCTTCTATTCCTGACCTCCTATTCTCTTGGACTTACGTCAGGTGAGTTTAGAAAGAAAAGGTGCATCATTTTCTGTCTTTGACCAGCATCGCGCCCTCTGTGAGCCTTATGAAGATGTTGGTCAGGACAGAACAGAGATAGGGGAAGAGGAAGTTCTTATGGATGGGCTTCTATGGTTATATCTTTAGAGAGTGTGGTATTTGTTTTTCATTTAAATATATATATGTGTGTGTTTGTGTACAATTTTATATGCACACATACATATTTAATTTTCTCTCAATTATTTACTCGTACAATGATTATATTATTGACCTTCAGATCAGAAATAACCTCTTTGCAGAGTCGTTTGGATGTTTATTTGGCACAGAGCCCCGCGGGAACATCTGTTCAGAACATGCTGCACTGGGCCCAGGTACGTGCTTCCTGTTCCTGATTCACACAATTGCCCCTGCAGGACCCTTGAGGAACACTCCCAGAGAGCCCACCGCAGGGCTCTGAGGCACCTGCCACCTGTCAGGTTGGTGTTTTGGGAATCAGTATCAACTCCTTATTTTGATTTACTTGGCTCCCCTCTATTCTCCTTGCCTCAGTGAGTGGGTTTTGAGCCTCGTTCTCAGATATTCTCACTGAATTCTGATGCTTAGATTATTCAAACTGCCTTCTCAAGGCAAGGCCTGCATTTTCTCATTTGGGAAATCATTGGCTCAATAGAACTTTATATAGATGAATAGTGCTTAGTCCAGAAAATCTGTTCCTTCTCCACTTGGCATAGGGGACTGCTCAGGAGGTAAGCACTCCTAATAGCAACAGAAACTATTCAAGGGTAGGGAGTATAGTCAGAAGAGCTTAACCCACTTGGTAAAGATGATAAAGTACAAAGTTGTTTAATAGTAATACCAGTAATTATTTCCTTTTAAAATAGTTATTTACTTACATTTAAGTGTTGTACATCTTTGTGGAGTCTAATGTAGTTTTTCAAAGTGTGTAGTGTGTGATAATCAAATCAAGAAAATTGGCATACTCATCATCTTCAACAAATAGCATTAAATGATACTATTCACCTTTGATTTTCCTTCCTATAGATACGTATCGTGTGTGTGTGTGTGTGTGTGTGTGTGTGTGTGTGTATGATTGGCAATGTCCCTTTTTTAGACTCTGTTTTGGTATACCACGCCCTAACCTATTTGCTTATATGCATCCTTCTGTCTATTAAATATTTTCTTCCTGAGCCCTTTCCACCTACCCACTACCTCCTCATGCAGTCTCTGGTGTCTGCAGTTGCCCCTTCTATTTCTGTCTTTGAGTCTTTCCATTTCTGCCATAGCACACGACACTCAGTACATAATGAGTGGGGACATGCATAGTCTTTCATGTCTGGCTAATTTCACTTAGCACTAAGTTTTCTCTATTTGTCCGCTTTGTGTTGGATGACAGGAACCCACAGTGTATAGCTGGGTAGCCACATTTTTAAATCCATTTATCAATTGTCGACACTTATATTGATTCCATTTCTTGACTGTTGTGAATAATGCTGCAATAAATATGGGTATGCCCATGTCTCTCGGATTGAGCGACTTCTCCTTTTTTTTTTTTTTTCTTCTTTTTTTTTGTGGAGAGGTTTGCCGCAATCCCTTCTCCTCCATTCTTTGCAAGCACATGTGCCCGGCGTGAGTTTAAGCCACTGGGTCCGGGACTCGAACTGCAGTCCACTACATGGGAATCCAGCGACATAGCCATTATACTAACTGCTGGTCCCTTCTTGTCCTTTATCTAAATACCCAAGAGTAAGATTATTAGCTCATATGGTATTTTTTTTCTTTTAGATTTTTTTTTTTTTTTTTGCTATAGGGCAAGTGTGTTTACTGTAGAGAGACAGAGACAGAGGAAAAGTGAGAAATCATTCTCCTTTCAGGATTTTGGGCACACACACGTGCACACGTGCTTGGCATGTTTTTCAGACTGCTCAGTTCAGGACTTGAACTGCAGAGTTGACCCTGTGGGATCCAGCGGCCCATAAATGATAGTCCTAATTTCAAATTTTTGAGTAAGTTCTGTACTGTTTTCCGTAATGATCACTAGTTTATATTCTCATCAATAGCACAATCTGTTTCTTACCCATTTTTTGCAATGTAGTTTTATTGGAGGCCATTTTTTATTGCAGACTTGAAGAGTTCACCGCTCCTAGTTGCTCCAGGTCACGGGTCTGCGGCATCTCTGGCCCTATGAGCCTCCAATTATATTGATTTTTCAAATTAAAGAACAAGAGATTTCTTTCCTTTTTATCATTTTCAATTTCTTTATTCAGTTTTTCATACTTTTCACTGTAGAGGTTTTTCACCTCTTTGGTTAGATTTATTTTGGGGTATTGTGTGTGTATGTGTACGTGTATCTATTATAAATGGGAATACTTTCTTTAATTCTATAATACATCAGTCTATTCATGATTGGTGTATAAAAAAGCCATAGATTTTTCTGGATTTATTTTGTATCCTGCAACCTTACTGATGTTTTTAAAATATTTTTGCCATGTGGCACATGTGTTCACCAGAGACATAGAGGGAAAGTGAGAAGGATGGCCACTCTGCAATCTCTTCCATTCTCCTCCTGGAATTTTGGGCACGCATGCATGTGTGTGATGTTCAATCTGCCAGGTTTGGGACTTGAACTTCGGTTGGCCATTTGGGAGTCCAGCACCTTAATCATCATGCTACCTGGTGGCCCAACTTTTCTGAATTAATTTATCACTTCTAGAAGTTTTTTCATGGATTCTTTTGGATTTTCTAAGTATATGATCATATTATCTGCAAATAGGGACAATTAACTTCTTCTTTGCTGTTTGCATGCCTTTTATCTCACTGTCTTATTTAATTTCATTGACTAAGACTTCTTTTTTCTTTTTTTTTTTTTTTAGATGTTTTTTTAGACAGAGAGACATAAAGACAGAAAGCAAGAAATAACCCCCCAGGGGGGATGGCCATGCCGCAATCCCTTCTCCTCCATTCTCCTCTCAGGATCTTGGGCA